ACTTTTAGACACTATTTGGTGCTATCTTTGCTGGCACTCCAGCAAATGTCTAATCTACCAGGGGAGTGAAGCATTATCCTGGTTTAAGTCTAAGAAAGAGGTGTTCACAAAGATTTAAGAAGTTTCCACCTCCCTCTTACAAATTCTACCTTCTTCCAAATACAACCATGTGGATACACACTAAATACAGAAGGGAGGTTGGAGCGAATGTCATCAGGATATGAATTAACTTGAAACCCGGAGTTTCCAATCCCAACTTGTCTGGCGGTCTAATTGATATTCCACATAGGTCATCACCAGGCGCTGGGCAATCCCTGCCCCAAACCAAAACTCTAAGTTACCTAAATGGGGGCATGCATTCTTCCCCCCTCCCACTGAATTTGTTTGCTAGGGCTACCATAATAAGGTACCGCAAACGGAGTGGCTTAGACAACAGACATCCATTGTCTTCCAGTTCTGCAGGCTAGAAGTCTGAGATCAGGGTGCCAGCAAGGTTGGTTCCTTCTGAGGGATGTGAGGGGGAATCTGTCCCATGCCTCTCCCCCAGCTTCTGGTGTTTGACATTTTGGATTATAGATGCAGCACCCTGACCTCTGCATTCATCTTCACGTGACGATCTCCCTGTGTGTGCGTCTGTGTCCAGATTTCCCCTTTATATAAGGACACCAGTCATATTGAATGAGGGACCCACCCTACTCCAGTACGACCTCATCTTCACTAATGACATCTCCAGTGACCCTATTTCTAAATAAAGTCACTGCCTGAGGTCCAGGGGGGTTAAGACTTCAACATATGAATCTTGCCGGCGGGGCCCACAATTTAACCTATGACACCTACCTTTACTCTTCCTTGTTCACTGGAGGCTCTAACTGAAGCAGAAATGTACCCAGCAGCCAGAAGCCAAGGTGGGTGGGGGCTCAGTGAGCTGGGGATGACAGGGCAGAAAACCGTATGCACATCTCTGGTCATCCACAGGCATCCTTCCTCAAAGAAGCTCAGCAGAGATTGGCTTCAAACGTCTGAATTATTAGACTTCCTTATGAATAGTGTTGCACTTTAGCCGTTCTCTTTGGGACCTGCCTCATCTCCAGTGACTTTTCAGATTCAACGTTTCCTCCGCTCTCATGAGGAAAGTCACCTCCTGTAATCCAATGTCCCCTCACTCGTGAATTGGAGCAGGTTCTTAGTGATGAGCAGCAGAAATTTTCTCTGGGTAATTTAAGAAGAAAAGGAATTGAGGAAAGGATGTTGGGCAGGGCATTGGCTCTCTAGAAAGGATGGTAAACCAGGCCAAGGCTGTGCTTCCGGAAACAAATCACACCACAGTCAGAAGGACCCAGAATGCGCTCGCCACTGGGCTCAGGCACCCAGGAGGCATGGCCATCCTGGGTGTTAGATGCCTCCACTGCTCCTGGAAACTCTATCTAGAGACTTTTTTTCCAGATTCGGAGGTATCCCTGAGCCCTAAAGGATAGGCACATCTGCACTAAAGCTTTCTAAGGCCACCTTCATGACCAACATTTTCTGATTAACTGTAGATTCCAATAGTCACCTCCTGACCGGTGAAAATTTGGCTCTGCTGGGGTCCTGAGAGAAGCAGACACTGAGATGAGTTAAGAGTGAAAACGTTTAACGGATGGCCAACAAACACATGAAAAGATGCTCAACGTCACTAATCATTAGAGAAATGCAAATCAAAACTACAATGAGGTATCACCTCACACCGGTCAGAATGGATATCATAAAAAAATCTACAAACAATAAATGCTGGAGAGGGTGTGGAGAAAAGGGAACACTCTTGCCCTGTTGGTGGGAATGTAAATTGATACAGCCACTATGGAGAACAGTATGGAGGTTCCTTAAAAAACTAAAAGTAGAGCTACCATATGATCGTGCAATCCCACTCCTGGGCATATACCGTGAGAAAACCATAATTCAAAAAGACACACGCACCCCAATGTTCATTGCAGCACTATTTACAATAGCCAGGACATGGAAGCAATCTAAATGTCCATTGACAGAGGAATGGATAAAGAAGATGTGGTACATATATACAATGGGATATTACTCAGCCATAAAAAAACGAAATTGGGTCATTTGCAGAGACGTGGATGGACCTAGAGACTGTCATATAGAGTGAAGTAAGTCAGAAAGAGAAAAACATATATCATACATTAATGCCTGTATGTGGAATCTAGAACAATGCTATAGATGATCTTATTTGCAAAGCAGAAATAGAGACACAGATGTAGAGAACAAATGCGTGGATACCAAGGGGGAAGAGGGATGAATTGGGAGATTGGGATTGACATATATTTGCCACTGGGTATGAAATAGATATCTAGCGAGAACCTACTGTATCGGGAACTCTACTCAGTGCTCTGTGGTGACCTAAATGGGAAGGAAATCCAAAAAAGAGGGGATATATGTATACGTATACCTGATTCACTTTGCTGTACAGTAGAAACTAGCACAACATTGTAAAGCAACTATACCCCCCCCCCAAAAAAAAGAGTGAAAAACTTTATCAGGAGTAACACCTGTGGGAGGAAAAGGCAGGAAGTGGGATGGGGCAGGGATGGGTTCAGTCAGACCACGATACAGAATTGTCCCCTCCAGCCTGATGGGAACTCTGAGCAAACGCCTGCAGAGGAGTGATGGGTGGGAACGGCTGGGGGCTTGTGCCGCGTCATGCTCGGTCACTGTCCAAGCCACCCCAGGAAGAGGGTGGCTTTGACGCCAAAGCGGAGGTGGACTTAAAGATGTCTGTCAGTTAACCACTTACCTAGTTGTTGGCCCAGAGCTTTGGTCCTAAGCAAAGGGAAACAGCCATTCAAGGATGTGGGTCAGGGCTTCCCTGGTGGCGCAGTGGTTGAGAGTCCGCCTGCCGATGCAGGGGAC